CCGCCCACACGCGCACGCACGCCCGCACGCACACACACACACACACACACACACACGCACACACACACACACAGCACTGTTTGGCACATTCATTGTGTCGCATACGTGGAGGTGTTTTCTTGATCGAGAAGCCTAAATCAAATCAGGATTCACTTTCGATCAAATGCCAAACCCGAATGTCTTTGACGAAGCTAACATGCCAACGTGTTTCTGGAACGCGGGAGGAAGCCGCAGAACCCCGATAAAAGCCAGGCAAGCAGGGAGAGAACATGAAGACGAAATCCAAACGTTCCTTAAACGGGCGGTGACTTTCAGAAGTCAGACATCGAACCTTGTCTATGCTTGCACAAGTTACGACAGAGGCAGAATTCCTGATGAACGAGTCAGTTGATGAAAGGGCAAGACACACCAACGTACGCATACGCGTACGCATACGCATACACGTTCAAGTCAACTCAACTGCATTTCGAGAGCGCTTTAAAACAACCGCCGCTGTCTGCAAAGTGCTGTAGCCCTGGAGCAAAAATAAGTCAGGCAACAACTACCAATAAAACAATCCATTCATGACAAGGACAGTAGAAACCACAAAAACGGTCCAGCTAAAATCAAGTCCCGTGCGGAGTCAAGAGCCAAAGAGCAAAAATGGGTCTCAGGACAAGTTTTAAGGATGGGCAGCGAAGGGGCTGGCCGAACGTGCAGCGGGAGATCATTCCAAAGAGAGGAAAAGGCTCGATCCCCTCCGAGTCTCCGCTTAGTTCTCGCTACCTCGAACGGTGTGATAGATCTGATAGCCATCCGCATCGTAGTGGAAGGAAATATCGCGTTTCCTTTAGATGGAACCCAAGGGGAGCGGATACAATGAAAACGGCAGAGGGCCCAAAATTGAACCCTGGGGAACAAAGATCAATCCGCGCAAAGTATCGTGCTCAAGTAGCTAATTAACTAGATAGCGATAAAATATATCACTGTAACTTCTAACAGGAAGAGGGGTCTGATCGGGTTCCAGGTCAGGACGTGTTGGATTCTGCTCCTGATGTCATTGAAGGCTCGCTCATCAGGAAGAGCTCAGCAACAACAGGAAGCACCCGAAAAAGTCACTTCCTGCTTCCTCCCACCCCGCCTTGCTGCTCAACATTCCTTTTCCGCACCGGCTGACCTTCACCGCTGCTCGCGACGCCACAAACAGCGGAAAGCAAGGAGGTCACTGTTAACGCGGCCCACATGTTCAGGTCTACGGGCCGCTTTGACGGCTCGCGTGACCGGAACACATCACTGACGAGTCAAGCTCCGGGAGGCCACTCCCAAACCGGTTCAAACCAATTCACACCAGTGAGAACTCAATCAGATAGGCAAGCTGGAACTTATTCAGACAATTGCACTTTATTTGATCTCAGACCAATTCCAAAAGATTCAGGTCATTTCAACCAGTGTCAGACCAGAAAAAACAAAAAAGATTCAGATCAGTGAAACACATATCGGGCCAGTTAAAACCCAGATCGGAGAAGACGTAAACAGATTCAGACCAGAAGAAAGAAAAAGACCGAGCCCAGTGAAACCAGGATCGGAGCAGTGAAAAACAGACCAGAGCAGCCGGAACGGATTAAGAATAGGTGAAGCGGCACAGTACAGACGCACCTGTGATATCGCCCGCGGCATCGGGGCGGGCGCTCGTCCGACGGCCCTGTCGGTGATGCCAGCGATTGAGCTGCAGCTGCTGCAGCCAATAAAGCATCAGATCCTGAGTCAGCGCCTAGGCAGGACAGAGCAGAACACGGCTTGAGAGCAGGGGAGTGGCATGTTGGCATCAGGTCTGCGTTCTCTCAAAGTTGTACTTTAAGGGTGTAGGTGCGCTCGGGCGTCTCGATGTGGAAGGTGCCCGTCTCGGCCTTGAGCGGGTAGGTGAAGGCGGCGGAGCTGAGGTCCACCCGGCCCAGCGGAGTCACATCCTGCGGGGTGCGGTAGTAGAACATCTGGTTCTGCTTCTCCTCGTAGACGAACCAGCGCCGCTTCCAGGCCCGCAGAGGGCCGCCCTGCTTCAGCAGGAAGCCGCAAAGTTTGGGCTCGCCGGAACTACCCGGAAAGTTGGGAGTGTCCAGGCTGTCCCGGTGAACAGGAAGAGGGGTCTGACAGGGGTCCGGGTGAGCAGGGGGAGGACACTGAAGGGGGTCACAATGAGCAGGGGTAGGAGTGGGATGGGGATCCAGGTGAGCAATAAGAGGAGCCTGATGGGAGTCAAGCTGAGCAGCAGGGATATGAGTCTGATGAGGATCAAAGTGAGCAGAGGTAGAAGTCAGATGGGGGTCCGGGTCAGGAGGAGTAGGAGTCTGAGGAGGGTCCAACTGAGCCAGAAGAGGAGCCGGATGGGTGTCCTGGTGCACAGGAAGAGGACTAGGACGGGAGTCAAGTTGAGCGGGAAGTTGGGCTTCAAGGTGAGCCAAGGTTGAAGTCTGAAGGGGATCCAGGTCAGCGGGAAGAGGAGCTGGATGAGGGTCCAGGTGTGCAGGAGGGTGATGGTCTGGGTGGGCAGTGGCAGAAGCCTGATGAGGGTCCAGGCGAGCAGGAGTATGAGCCTGATGGAGGTCCGAGTGAGCAGGGGTAGCAGCCTGATGGGGGTCCGAGTAAGGAGGATGAGAAGTCTGAGGTGGGTCCATGTGAGCTGGCGTACAGGTCTTAAGGGGATCCGGCTGAGCGGGAAGATGAGCCTGGTCGGGTTCCAGGTGAGTCGCCGTAACATTTCTGTGGCTCTGGTGACCTTCGTCCTGCTTTATCGCCCGTTCTTCAAAGAGTGAGTGAGTTTCAGATTTAGTTGCTCCCTGCAAAAAGCATCGTGAGTGGAGATGTGAATCCTTTTCGTGTTCCATCATCAAATCCAGGCCTGGTTCCTTTGAGGAAACGTTGCTTTTCTGTGTTTTTCTTTGAGGAGCTGAACAACGTCGAACAAGATGGCGGAGTTGTTCTCCGGGATTCTGACGGATCTTTGAAGGGTCTTTTTGGAAGTGCGCCGGGCCTCCGTGTTGGCTGTCTTGCGTGCGGGTCGCTGGAAACGTGTGCCGACCATCTGGAACTTTGGGTGATCTCTTGTGAGTCTGGAGGACCCTGGAGGGTCTCTGTTGCGCCTCTAGAGGACTCCTGAAGGTCTCCGGCGGGCCGCGGCGGGACACCGTTCGGCGGACCGGCTCGTGGCGTTCTGACAATGACATCGCAGCACGTTGGTGGAATCTGAGCTCGGCAGGAAGTGACACAGACGCGGCGGCGATGTCATTTCCTGTTCGGTGCTTTGCACCTATCCCGAAGCGAACGCAAACAATTGAGTCCGAGCTCAGACGACGCCATCGGAAACGACTGAGGAGCTTCTTGACGGGAAGTCACTCACAAGAACCATGAGAAACATTCCAATGAACGCGGCCGAAGAGAAACTCTCAAAGTGATGGACTGTGCACGCGCTATGTCTGGCCGTTCTCATTTTTAGCGTTATCCAAGTGTCGATCGCAGGCAGAGGTGGCAAATTGAGAGGGAGAAAGTCCAAACTCTTCCAGAGTTTGGCTATGGCCACGGGTGCTTCTGCTCAGGGAGCTCATTTATCTGGAAAGCCGCCTGCGGCCAACGCCAAACCGTGGCAGGGATGGAACCAATAGTACGATCCTAATAACCACAAGCGTGGACGGGATACTGGCAAGATCGAGAGTCGAGTTTGACAGGAGCTTCGTGACGGAAGCGGCAGGGAGCAGGCGGGCGGGAGACGGCGCTTCGACCGCCGCCAAATGGTCGCGGCGATGGTGGAATTGACTCGGCCGATGAACATTTTCCATCTCCTTTGTCGTAGCGGCTCGCCGGCTCAAATCGTCGCTCGACGTCATGGGCGCCGCGCCGCAGCGTTGGCTGGCGCTCTCGAAAAAGTCGACATTTGGGATGAGATTCCCATCCGCAAAGGTCCCGGCAGCCGACGCCGCAGGAGAGCTTTTGGACATTTCAAGAAGGAGCCGACTTTTCCGTGCGACGGCAGCGTGAATTGAACGGACGGCAGAAAGGCCTGCTTTCGCCTCGGAAATGCCAAATGCCTTTCCGTACGTTGATTGGAAGGACCCGCGCTCATTCCTCAAGTACAAATAGCTACTCGGTGCCCTGGTAGACATCGGCGGCATATTCTCGCGCTCGCTCGTTTGTCTGACGTGCGTGATCGTCTTTTGCTCGTTGGCCAAACGTGTCCAAATAAATATTACATTGGAACGCGTTGAGGTTTTCTTGTTTCGCTTTTTTTTTTTTTTTTGCCCCTGAATGCTTTCACAATGATTCTCGTGGCACGCCTTCTTCAACTATTCACAAACGCACCCGTCCTGCACCACGCCGACGGCCGAGCACCGGCGTGATTTGAATCCTTTTCGTCTCATTGAAAAAGGGCCACTGGCAGCGGACTTTGGTTTCCCCTGCAATGAGCATTTGGGGATGCCGACGGGCGCTCCGAGTTTGGACGCGCTCGTCACATCGTCACGAATGACACTTGTTGTCATGGCTTTTCTTTCCCGATGCGTCTCGATGGCGTTCCTGTCTCACGCTTCTCTGGCGGTTAGGCCCGACTTTCCGGGTTAGGCATGTTTCCGAAGTCTGGACAGGAAGAAAAACAAACAAACCAACAAACGACACGCACATCGGCGCCAACGGGAGACTCGGGGCCCGTAGCGACCATGTGTTTGTATTCCCATTCACGTGTAAGCTGATGGAATATTATTGATGATTTTCATTTCATCGTTTTATGTTTGAGCATCATATTCTTTCATGTTAAGGTGACGTAAATCACACGAGGTTGTTTGTATAGGTGTGTCGGTTATGTTTTGATGTCGATAGCTTCCGATTGGCTGTTGAAGGAAGGGAAAGCAGGAAGTGATTGAGCGTCTACTCGATCGTCCCGCGGGGCGGGTCGGACGTCCTTTGAACGAAGCTGCCTTGAAACGGAAGCCATCTCTCCTTTCGTCAAGTCGAGCCATCCTTTCCAAAACAACGGACGCCTCAATTTACACGCGTATCGTTCTTATTCTCGGACTTGGGACGAGTCAACCCGCGACTATTGTCGTCCGCGATGCGCACGTTGTGCCAGCACGATCAGACGCGCGGTCGCTCGCGGAGTGCACTTGAGGCAAGTGCGAAGAGTTGGACTCCAAAGTTTCGCGGAGAGCGGCCGCGAACTCACCTTGGCGCGGGGCGTGGCCCAACACACCTGCCGACCGGATCGCGCTTGATTGACAGCTGCGGCAAACTCACCAGGAAGTCGGAGGGACTGCTCCCCACTTGCTTCCCGCGGCGGACTTCCCCTCGAGATCTTCTTCTTCTTCTCCTTGTGGCTCTGCTCTGCTTCTCGAGTGACTCACATTTTCTCGCGGCAGACTCTTGCCGCGCCGACTTTTTTCTTTTTTGTTTTCCGGGCTTCTGGTCTTGCCCCGCCCACGACACTAGCCCTGCCACTTCCGCCTTAGACTATCAAAATAATTGCCCACTTTACGTTGTCATTTCACAAAATGTTCCAACTGAAAAAGGATTGCTACGCTACACGAACAATTTTTGAACAATTATTTGGAGTGCAAACCAACAGCGGAGGACTATCGCGTCACTTGAAATGTTGTTTTTAAAAACGCTTGTACTGAAGAGACTGCGCCTCCAGATGGCAGCACACACACACACACACGAGCGCACGCGAGCGCGCAAAGGGCCTCAGGTCTCCAGTGCTGATTGATTGAGAAGGTCTAAAAATAGCCTCAGCATCATCTTCGTCGCAATCATGATCATCCCGTCATCACTTTAGTTTTCCTAATCGTCATGTTGATGATCACCTCCTTCACTTGAGCTGATCATCTTTCACTCCAGTCACAATCATCCCAATTCTCTTTGTGATCTTCGTCTTCACGGCTTTCGACCTCTTCATCGCTCTCACATCGTCCTCATGGTTTGAGGCTCGTCATGTCATCCTGCTGACCATATCAACTTGGTGATCGCCACCATCACCTTTCCAGTCATCGTCTTCTTTCTGATGTTCGGCCTCATCTCGTTGCTTGCTCGCTGCCGTTGTTTCGCGTGCAAACTTTGAGCCTCTAAGTTTTTATCGTGTGCGTCGTCTTTGTCACTTTTGTCATAGTTGAGACTGTGCGGCCATAAAAACCAAGTCCCCGCCCCTCGCGCACACACACACACAGACAGTGCCCCCCCCCCCACACACACACACACACACACACTTTTGAGATGCAAAGTAAGCAGACATATGGAGAGGAGGTGTGGCGGGCTGCTTCCTCGGACAACAGCTTCATTAGGCTGAAAGAAAGTTTTTGCAGCTTTGACAAGTCAAGACTCGCAGCTCCTCGGCTCCCATTCACCGGCTCTTTTGTTGCTACCGATTCAAGTTATTGCTCTCCAAAACAGCCCCGGGACCCCCCAGCCATAACACACACACACACATGCACACACAGAGGCTCCCTGGGCCTGACGGCCGCAGTGCATTGTGGGTGTTGCGAACGCATTGAGGAGCGGCGCGCGCTTGCCGTACGCGCAACTTTTTGCCGAGACGGTAAAAGGGAACAAAGGGCCGGTTGGAAATGGGAGCCGGTTCACGCCAACGGCTACGCTCGCAAAAACAAGCCCACGTCAACACGGCCGAGTTGGCGTTTTGCGGACCGCAGCCGCCGTCGGTCAGGACCGGCGCGCTCGCGATCCCGCGAGCCGATCGGCTTTTGCTCGGACGTGGCCTCTCGCTTTGCCGAGCCTCGGCGTACGTCTACGCTTGAAATTGGCCGCGTTGTTTCTTGACCCCGCGTCGGCATCGGCGCCGAAGAATCACGGGGGCCGGCGTCGATTCTGCAACGTCTTTGGCGGGGGACGGGGACGTGACAGCCGAGTCCGGACTCGGATGGCGGGCTTTCTCGAGGGAGCGGCGAACGCTCGGCGGTCTTCTCCTTTCAGCACAACCGAAGCTCAGCTGACGTCGGAGCGCCGATCGCCGGGCTAACCGTCGAGTTAGTCTAGCTGACCGGTTTTTGCTCGATCAGAAAATGTTTCCCGGTTTTCACTCGTCCTCCTCCGGACGTGCGGCTTTGCGCCCGCTAAGCCAGAAAGACCTTTTAACAGACGTGTGCGGAAATGCGGCTTTCCGGATGGAAAGGGTCCGCGTCCGCGACGTTCAAGACCATGGAGTCGATCGGGCTCGCCCCATTTTGCCTCGTTCCAACCGGGGACGCGGACGTACGTGACCCTTGGAGACGATCCTCCGGTCTCAAGCGCGCACCTAATCGTCCCCAGGACGGGCGCCCAAACGCGCGACACATTTTGGGGGTGAAGAAAAGCGATCGTTTCACATTTCAAGAAACCGAGTCAAGTGGAGGCTTTCTCTCTGGCTTTTTCTCCCGAGTCAAGTCCGACCGGAGGAGAGTCACGTGACGCCGCAGAAGCCAAAGGACAAAAGTGCAAGTTCTTGGGGAGAAACCTTGGCGCCGTTGCAGCGGCATCCATCGCGGCAGCGGCGGTCCCCCCCCCCCCACTTTGTCGCCTTGTTGCCCAGGAAGGTTTTAATGTCATGGCGGCCGTCGTCAATCACGGCGCTGAATGCGCCGGCGCGCACGGCCTCCGCCTCTTCATCAATCTGCTCTCGCGTTCTGGGAACGGCTTCCTTTTCACCCGTAGCCCGCTGTTTGCTCGGCTGACAACTTCGCCGCGGCGAACGCTTGCCCTCCGCCAAGCGCCGCCGTGGAAACGGCGCCGACGGGCGCCGACGGCGAAACGTCCTAGAAAAAAAATAAAGGTTTTGATTGTCATTGTGGCTTCCGGAGTGTTTTGCAGCTCGCCCTCGCCGATGTGCGCCGCTCGCGCCGACAACATGGCCGCCTTCCAAAAGCGGCCACGTTGTCGACAACGTTGCCGCTGTATTTGGTGAGCCAAGTGTTCTCTCGCTTTTGGTGGGTGATAGGATCCAAGCGCCCCCGCCAAGTCGAGGTTGACCTTTTTTTGGGCATTTTTAAAACGTTTGTTTCGGTGAGGGCGGGGGTGGGGGCGCACCTTGATTGGGCCATTCCGAACGACCTCTCAGGAGAGTTCGCTTTCATTTGGCTTTCAAAGAAACGGCGTCTTTTTCACAGCGGCTTTGTGCACTTTGGATGAAAAAAACCTCCAAATATGCGGCGCTTGGAATTTGTTTTGGAAAGATTTTTTTTTCCAAATCACGCAGTCCCGTGTCGTCAAAACTGAAAGCGAAACATCATTTTCAAAACATAAACATTCGGAAACGTGCGAATCCAGCGCGGCCCCTGGATGCGATCCATTTTCCCTCAAATTATCGTCGCACGTGTAAAAAGGAGTTGGAGTTGTTTTTGGTTTTGGTGAAGTGCCTTCTTTGACTTTGCTGACAAAAACCATTTCTCATTTTCGCTTTGCTTGCTTTTGGTCGGTGAGCTGAGTCGCAAACGAGGATTTCTCCTCGCGTGACAATCGCTCGATGAGGTCCAAATCGCTCGGCGACTTTCTGGTGCTTTGGCCTCGTCGTGGTCGGCAAGTTTGCAAG